GTTTGAATGTTTCCACAGATTGGGACATAACAATCGCCTCAGGTAGGTTATTACACGGGTCCACGACCAGATTAGATAAAAAATACTTCTTCACATCTAATTTTCCTTGGGGTACATACAGTTTGAAGGGATGTCCCCGGAGATTAGTTGTAGTGGCGATTTGGAAAAATGTCGTCACATATGAGAGCGCATTCCAAGCCACGCACGATACAGAAGGTTTGTATCAAATCTCCGCGTAACTATCTATAAATCAGAGGCTAGAGATTAAGGTTATTTAGGCGGATCTCATATGGTAGTGATATGTTAGTTAATGTATATAGCAGTAAGATATGGGAGAGCAAATAGCAGACAGGAAATCTGAGCACCATCGTAATGTTGCAGTTTAAATAGCCTACTATCTAAATCATCATACAAAGAAAATTAATTCCCACTATTTTTTGGAGGATAGTGTTCCGTTCCTTTAAAATCGGTTCATACGACAGGGCTACAAGTTGGATTTTTAATCGGCGGCAAAATCCAGCCCTGTCCCTCATCTACAAATAACGGGAAGTAGTATGATTGAAAGACTGCTTTTACGAGGAAAAAATACACGGAAAATACACAAGCTATTCGTGCTGTGAAAAAATACGGCAAAGTTAATTGGTTATGCCAAAAAGAAAACATAAATGGTACTTCTGAGGGGCTTTGGCACCGTTTCTAGCTAACAGGCAAATCACAATCTGCAATAATTGATAACCTATGCGAAGCCTTCTTTCCTCAAGATTTATTCTCAGTTCTCCAATGTCTAGGTTATATTTTCTTTCTTCGCAGCCTTTCGCATCGATTTATCCAAGTATTCTAGATACCGAATATTTGGTCCGTTCCGAAATAACTAAGTTATCAGCAACATCTAATTGGAATAAAGGATCCATATAAGCATGTGTTAAACTACGTAAAAGGTAATTTCATGAGAAGTATAAAGTCTACTTGTAGTCCGGTGTCAGGTACACATTGGAAGTCGAAATACTGGCTGTGGGCTTGGATCACGGTTTATTCGTTCTTTAAAACGACGGATACCATAACCTGTAGCCCGGTTCAATTGCATGGATTCTTTGTTTGTGGGTATAGTGTGTTGCTGTAGTTAGCAATTTTGTTGCGCTTCAGACTGAATCGGAAGTAAGTTTCCATCATAAATGTGTATTTTTAAAAAAATCCATGTCTTCTTAATATAATCCAAAGACTAATATCCTCTTATGTGTGTATTTTAAGCCTACATACCGCTTTTTCTCTATCTTTACCTGTCTAGGTATGACTGAATTCGAACTATGGACTTAAATATTAGCTGTACTTCGTCGTTAGACCAAAGGGTTCCCGACTCTTTTCCACCTTATGATACCGATTCACCTGAGGGGACATTTGGAGAGCCCGTCCCTTTTGTCCCCGATGTGGGAAGCAACGTTGTAATTAATGAGCACAACAAAAACATACCCATTTTTGGATCGCCACCCAAAATATGGTCTGGAAAGAGGGTCCTCTGCTCTTTCTCGGCTAATGGGTACGTTTCTTTTGAGGACCATTTACCCTTTTAGCTCCGATTCCGACGAATATCCCTTCCATGCTGTTACATTTGGTGAATCAGCATCTTTGACAGGCTTGTCATATAACGTACGCTAAATTTTTGTTTTGACGGCATTTTCCTTTAGGATCATAGCTATGCCAAAACGGACCAAGGCGAATCTAGAAATTGTCCAGAAAATGGTGACAATCAACTTGCTCTTTTGGCCAAATTAGCGCTTGCGAAGCACGATAGTCCTGAGTCGTCACACGTCGACTGTCTTGGAGATTTTGATTCTCCAGTCGACAACCTATGCATTTCAGATAGCTTGGTGGAACGCTCCTCCGGAACCACCAAAAGTTCAGGCGTACCACACGTAACAATTATAAAACAGCCATATGTTTCCCCAACTAACGGGCACCAAGTTGCGAATCAGTTTCAACCACACCTCCCTGGCACTACCTGCAAGGTCACTCCCACGAATGGGAGAGCAATACTTTTAGCACCTACCCGGAGCAGTCTAGCGACGTCAGTCCAGATTCACAGGGTAACTTCTGTCGCTCCGCAACCGGTGCTACTGCGCACCGACATGCCGCCCATTTCTGTTGATGGCAACAGCGTGCAGAATCCTCCAGCCGCGGTTCCCGCCCAATTCCGCTGCATTTGTGGTTTCACTCACGATGACGGATGCCTTGTCCAATGCACTAGCTGTCGGTAAGTGCATATTCATTTTCCAACTGCGTTCTCTCTTCAGTAGTGGTGCTGAGAAGTGCCAACTTCTTTGTAGCTTTATTGCTTTGCCTACAGCATCCGCTCTCACAACCACAATTTCGTTATGCGCCAGATCTTGTTTTATTTTTATTTTTATTATGGGTGAGTATCACTTAAAAACACGAGTTTTGCATTTCCTGTTTTACTGACAATGCATTTAGAGCGTAACTCTAAATTGGCAACAAATGTGAATTAAGATATGTGACCTAATGTTTTCTGTTCCCGTCCATCTTTAGAATCCTTCAACATGCTGAATGCATGACGCCACCGGGAACCATCCTGCCAAAGCCTTATTTCTGTGAATCCTGCCAACCGAGGCCAGTTATGCCGACTGAGGCGGCGAATTTACAACGCAAGAAACTTGCAGCAGCAGGTATTAATCAGATGGCACCAACAAAGACGATCCGTTTGGCAAATGCTGGAATCCGCTTTCCAACGAATAAATTTAATTCTCCTACTGGTGCTATTCAGCACATTGCGCCTTCAAATAGATTTTTCTTGACGACGCCCGTAAATGGAGCACTTCCTGTTCGACCGATACAGGTCCGCTTGGGTGAGCTACCATCTGGGGCCGTGATCGGCCAGTCTGTAGGAAACACGACCATCTACCAAGTTGATGCTTCTGCATTAAATCAGTTCCAGCCGCGTACTATCAACTTGGATCCAAGACCCTATGTCACATGTGGTCAGCGGGCTTCCAAGAGAAAGCAAGATTTATTTACACGTAAGTCTATCTTGATTTTCACAAACACTCGATGTTTCAGGCTGCCTATCGAATTTTCCAACAAGAGCTAAGACTTTCTACTCTTAGTGCTGTTAATGGTTTTCTGGGATGGGATGTTACCTGTTGTCATGCAGTTCCTGTCGAAATAATGCTTGTGATCATTTTTGTTTTCATGCGTTTAGCAAATTTCAAATGACTATTCGGCAGCCCACTTTTCTTTTTTCCATCAAAACTGGACTTCGGAGACTTTATGCTTAAAGTTGCGGTTAGAAAATTTGGACATTAGAACGACGAATGTCGAGTTCAGTTTGTTCCTAATCGTCAACTGAACTCACGCTCGATGTTGTCTGTCAAGTCTGTTGGGGGTGCTAGTGTACGAACAGTTTTTTTTGATTTGGGATTAAGAGATGTGCTAGAGCACAGGAAAACCTTTACTGGCCGGAGTTCTTGGACTCGTACGCGAACTAGTTGTCAGAGCTCAGGTCAGAGTAGAGGCACGAAGAGTTTCAATATTTATATAATGGGACTGTTGCGCCGCCGTACGCCTGTCGGTTATTAAGAATACAGACCTTTACGACATTTCCCTAGATGATGCTTTTGACAGTAGTAGGCGCGTATGGAGTTTGTTGATACACTTTCGTTAAGCCTACTGTTTATTCTGTTCAACAATTGGCAGATGTCTATTTAACTTATTGGTTCGGCTGTAACCATGTCTTGTTTAGCCATCCTCGACACTGCTGCGCCCACTGTGTCCATGCGTGACGATCTGCATTAACCGATTTAATGAACTCAACCCACTATTATGCAAACATAAATATCGAAGGTCTTAAGACCGTCTCAGTATCACGCCGGGGTTTTTTCAGAACCATTGACGCGTGCCATTTTTTGGACAGTAGTACTGAATTCCTTAGATGGGCGGCGAAATGCGTGACCTCACTTGCCTTTTGTGGATGACGTAAAATATATTCGCGATGCTGCCGAATCGAATGCACACTGTCCCAACCGATACCAAGTCTTCGTGTTTCCAGACTCAGTTCATCAAAGACTTTTTTCCTTTACGCATAAAACCTTACATCAAGGGCTGTTGATGATTGACCAGACAGGTGCTTTTTCCCTAATCCTCGGGATGGTGACAAGAACATATTTGACTATTTGACACATTCGGATGTCTGCAACAACCTTGGGCCTGTCATGCTACTGCTCTGATCTTTTAAATTCCAGATCTGAAGTCTATCGCCAAGATCAGCTGATTTGTTCTCTTAATTTTTTAAGGCAAGTTGTCTTGCCTTCACAAATTGTCCACGGCTCAGCTATTAGCCTTTAATATCTTGTTGCGGTGGCAGTCGTATAAAGACGCAACAATGCGTGTTTTTAACTCTTCTCTTTGTAGGGCGAAGGCCTTTTCCAGTTTCTTCAAAATTCTCATCCCTCGCTACCTCGCTTCAATATTCTACTCTTAAAATTTTAGTAGCCGGAGAATCTTCCACGGCCTTTGACAACATGTCAACAAATTTCCGATTTGAGGAGACTGCAAGTACCGAAGAAAGTGAAGAGTTGCCGTGTCCCAAGTTCTACCGAGCACCTTCAAGCACTTCTGAGGTTGAAGCCAACAAGTCTGCATACGCTCCTCGCGTGTCAACTAACTACACCGGACGCTCCACAGTCAACCAGGAGACAATAGTTAACTCTTCAGCTCACAACGTTCCGGAACCGGCCTCGCCAGATGTAGTTATTTGGAACGACTCCTATGAAGAGGCCTCAGAAACTCGTATCTCGGACGCTCTGAAGCAGCGAATTCGTAACGTCTTCCTTACCTCTTCGGCCCGCGAACTGGACAATCCTCAAATCTCGGATTCTACACTGTCCTCTGTTAGCCGCGCCCATCGGTGTCGTGTAGCTTCTCTCGAATTTAACAAAAAGGTTAGCCCACCGATTTTCCCGCACAAAGAAGCCATGTGGTGCGCCAGCGTACCTAATATAGATGCAAATTGTGTACTCTTCGCGTATCCTTATTGTTGTGCAATTTCGTAATTATTTATAAAGACACTGCTTGTTTTTCACGAACTTGAAAGGGGGACTAGGTTCCCAGATCCTGACATTGACAAGCTTCCCAGTCATTAATAGAAACATGCATTTCTTACCAAGAGCAAGAACGTAGATGTTCGAGGACGACTTTTTCTGCTGTGTTAACTAGCTACTTTTTTATCGTATACACAGCATTTTAAAGAAATTCTGTTATTCACCCCAGATACACCAGTTGATTTAGGTAGGGTGTATAATTTCATTAGCGATGTACGGGTGCTGTTAATTCGTTCTTATATTTTTGCTTTCCTATGCAGTCGGTCTGGGTGCTTGATGGTACTGCACCCAGACTTCTTCTGTCATCAGTGCGCCTTTAGTTGGGACCGCTATAGGCCCCGAATGCAAATGAACGTTTGTGTGAAGTAATAGAGTTTGGTCCCTTTCTCGTCGACCTCCCGATGGATTCCTAACCCACAAAACAACGCCCAAAAGTTCACCATGTCTAATGCCGCTGCCAAGTGTAACATTCTCAATCAATTTGTTAAATGAGTGCCTGCCTGCACACAACCTTAACTACCATCTACCACCAGTGGACGCAACGAGTGGCTTACAACTATCCCTAGTAGCAAAGTAAACAAAATCCGGCATATGTATTCGGAGTTTTCCAGTAGGATTCCATGATAGAATCCGCCTGGATTTGCTACTAAGGGGGACGTGGATCAAGTAGACTCCGAACAGCTGAAATTGCCCATGATTAGGGTTGTCCGTCCTTTGTCTGCTGGGACAATCATAATTTCGTCGTCGCTCTTCAATTCATCAATGGCCCTTACCGTTGCCAAAAAAAGTAAAACCAGTAAGAAATCTTGATTGTCACACTAAACCGGTTGGTGCGGCAAGACAGACGAACCATTGACCTGTGAGAGGGTGAGTCATGTTAGGTTCGTGAGTAAAGGAGGAGAGAGAAAAATGACAGCCTCCTGTGCTAGAGGGGCCTAGTAGTAAATCCAAGCGGATTCCATCGTGGAATCCTATTGGAAAAATCCCTATACATATGCCGAGTATTACCGGATTTTGTCCACTTGATTTGCACTTGTTACTAGGGATGCTAACAAAAAAGCGTTATAACTACGAAATGTGATTTGATCGATAAGGATTTCAGGATTCGCGAATAGTCTTATTGGTATTTGGGCTCATGTTGTGGCATCAGAGAAGGGTACGAAATGGTTCAGCCCCTGTGCCGTTATGCAGACTAGCCAGGGCAGCATGAACGTCCGCATTATCATCTCACACAGGGAATATTATTGTCTTCCAAAA